AGAAATTATAGGTAACACTGAGTGAATACATATGTAGAATAATTTGTTCAACAGATTGCTTTTTTTCTCTTTGCAAATTGCTCATGAACAGGTTGATCTCAATCAGAGTTGGAGGTGCTTAGTAGCTTGCTGGTTTGGGCAATATACTTCCCAAAGTGTTGGAATTTCCCCATCACTGCTTATAAAATGTCCTGTGCATCCAGCAGAAATATGTTTTCAGGTTATACATTTCTGCAGACGAGAACAAAAGTTAAGATATTTTATTTAAAAAAAAAACAGAAATGATGCGAGCAGTTTTGAAAAACTAACGTAGCCCTTTAAAAACATGATTACATAGTTCTAGTAGATTACAGCTGGAACAAGGCCAGGCACTGCAGACTAAGAAAGGTGGAAATCTCCCAAAACTAGACTGAAATGAATGTGGCCAAAACTCAGCTGAATCTCCTCCAAATGTATCTCCAAATAAAACTTCTCAGTAACTGTATTGGGTGCCAATAAACAGATCAAATTTAAACCAAGGAACCTAGAATATAAGAAAAACCAAGAACTATTGTACTTTATTTCATGGCAAGAGGGGTTTCATTTCAATTGAGACATTAGACATTCTTTACATTAAAAAAGGATTTGCCTGGTTTTTGCCTTATTATATGCTATTTGCTTTATTGTCTTTTCAGTGAGACAAAAAAGGCCAATATAAAGGTCTCAGTCCAAATTCTCCTAAAACAGGAGATTCTAGATTTACACCAGTGTAATTGAGAGTGGGATGTAGAAATATATAGAAAGTGCTCAACAGTGCTCTTCTTCAGATTTTTTCCATTTTTATTGTGGAAATATGTTGGTATATTTGAGAATTTAACACTAGATTTGCTTATGCCTGGTGCCAGCTCTGCATGCATGCTGTGCTTTATGGAATTAATGTCAGTAAAAGATTTGTTTTTAATATAGAAAGGAGTCTAATATAACAGCTTTTTTTGTTTTAAAAATCATTTTAATTGTGCATAGCCTTAAGGAACCGCCTGCACAGCATCTACCTTTTTTAGGTCTTGAACCATTTAAAAAAACAATAAAAGAATGAGCCAGATTTCTCCCTGGTGTCATTCCACTGATACACCAGGGATAAACTTGCCCCCCTCTGTCTATTTCATTGTATTTCCTTTCAGAGACCTTTGACACATGTCTTCTATGAGTCATGCTCAAAGTTGGAAGGTGGCCCATTATCATAGGGACTCAGCCACACATTCAGTTAAGTCAGCAGAAAGGAGAGGGCACTCCAGTGCTGATTGATGAGCGCTGTCCTGTATGTGAGCAGCCTACAGAAAGTCTCCCATACAGCTTCATGAAAAAAAGTTTTTTTAAATGCAGAACCTTGGAGGAGGTCTGGCTGCCTACCGCAAATACAGAAGGGCTGTTTGTATAGTGCTGGAACACAGCTGACAGGATCCGGAAGGATGCCACTTTCAGGGAGCTTCACCTCACTTGAGTTGCTGGGATTCATCTTTGGCATAATCGCAGCACCGTCTCTTAGGCTAGTAGAGAGACGAAGTTTAAAAATAAAATGAGAATTTTTGTCAGTAGTTTCTAGGTCATAGGCTAGTAGAGGTTGATTTAAAAACAACAGCAGGAGATCATCTCAGTTGGTACAATTGGCTGCGGAGCTGTGAAATTAACATTAATGGTGCTAACTAAAACAAAGGTGAGGGTGTCTTACAGTGAGTGGAAGGGGAAGATGAGAGGAACTGATCCAAAGGGCTTTCAGAAAAGGGAGTGCTGTGGACAAGAAAGGGCGGAGAAACTATTAGGAGACAAAGTGGGTTAGCTAATATCTCATTTTATTTCCTCACCCACCTTTTCTTCCCAATCACTGGAGGCTCTGCTGCCACACATAAGAATGGCCATACCAGGTCAGACCAGAGGTCCATCTAGCCCAGTATCCTGTCTTTCGATTGTGGCCAATACCAGATGCCCTAGATGGAGTGACAGAAATAGATAATCATTAAGGGTATGTCTACACTACAAAGTTAGTTCGAACTAACGAACGTTAGTTCAAATTAATTTTCATAGGCGCTACACTAGCGGAGCGCTTAGTTCGAACTAGGTAAACCTCATTCCACGAAGACTAAGCCTAGTTCGAACTTACTAGTTCGAATTAAGGGCTGTGTAACCCCTTAATTCAAACTAGTGGGAGGCTAGCCCTCCCCAGCTTTCCCTGGTGGCCACTCTGGGCACCACCAGGGAAACTCGTATGCCCCCCTCCCGGCCCCGGAGCCCTTAAAGGGGCACAGGCTGGCTACGGTGCCCGTGCCAGGTGCAAGCCTGCCAGCACCCAGCCAGCAGACCCTGCACCTGGCACGCCATGAG